ATGCACAACACCAAACAACAAATTAAAGATTGATTTTTAGGTAAACGCCAAGTTCATCGGACCATTGACTTGGTAAGAGTTTGATTCCTAAATCCTAATCATAGCAGGCCACTGGCCTTTTTAATAGGGATGAAAATAGGTCATGTCTCTTCATAGAGACCTATGGCTTGGCTTGACCCATTAAGTAAAAAGGTCAGACTTACTATATATATATATATATATATATATATATATATATATATATATATATATTATCAAATTCTAACCCTCAATATCTCTAATTTTAAATATTAATTTGTAAATCTCTGATCTTGCTTTCACCTTTTACTACGATTTTTGACTGTTATAAAGATAAATTCGTAAATCTCTTTTCTCGGTCACTAACTTTTTTTTTTTTTTTTTTTTTTTTTTTTTTTGAGGCAAAACGAGTATACAGGCCCAGACCCAAATTCAAACCTTAGATTTCTGTAGCAAGTGCATATATGCCTAATTTTCTAAATTTCGATTACGTCGTTTGGCCTATTTCATCCCTACATTTTAGTTTAGATCGATCAATTATAGGTAATTTAACTTGTTTATTACTGGAGTTATAAGGTGAAGTTTACTGTATTTGTTTTTCTCATTACTTGAGCACAACTAATCAACTAACATATAGTGTAGGTAGTGCATGTTTGTTTATGTACTTACCTTAACGTTAATATTAACGGCCATAAAGTAATCCGACAAAACCCACAAAGTGGCACTGTATACAGTACCAACTTGAGCAGCCGTAGCAGCAGCATCTATAGTTGGCCTATCCTTAGGATCACCATACAAGGTGATGAAATGTTTACCGTAGTCGATCTTCACTCTCTCCTTATAAGTCCCACCTGCTATGTTAATGATATAACGCTTTGTGTTTTTAGCAGGAATGGAGTTGATGGCTTCTTGAATGGTTTTGAATTTGCCTCCTTTTCCGACCCCAATGTGCACTGGGGCGGCCTCCGCCGTTGTGAGGGCGGGGTCCAAACCCTTTCTGCCTGGAAGGGGTTGAACGTTGGCTTTGAACCAACCCTCTACCGCAGACTTTTGTTGAGGAATAGGAGCCATGTCGTCTGAGGTAACACTGCCCGGACAAAACGCTACAAATACACAGACAATAAGACTAACAACAACATTTATTGCTACTGTGTTTGTCGCCATGCGAACGATGCAATGCTCACAAGTGCTGTTTTTTTTAAATGGGTTTTTGTTTTTATTGGATAATATGAAGATGTTTTTGCAAATGAATGCGTTATATATCTGCTTGTGAACATCTATATATGCTCAGGGTTTTATAGTTGAGGCTAGTAAAGAACGAACATCAAACAGGAGTGCATAAACATCTGTGGTTTGATTTCTTTCGTACACGTACACTTCGAGTATTTCTGTTAGAATTATAGCATGTACGTGTACGAAACTTTTTTTTAGTTTGCAGTTCTACCTGCATGTATGATATATTCATATACTCATAATGTTTTATGTTAGACGTACTCCCCCAAGAATAATACTTTTGTCTCAGCTCATACTAGTTGTGTCGATTGTAAGTGTTTTCTTGTAAGCCTTGACTTGATCAAAACATAAACAATGATTGATCAGTTGTACAATTTACTTTTTTTTTTTTTTTTTTTTTTTTTTTTTTTTTTTTAGGAAAATCACGCGTGTGCTAAACACTCCCATAATATTAGTCCAATAAGATCTAATAATCTCTTTATGTTTTGATCAAGTCAAAACATCAAAAAGGGTGTAGTGTATGGTAAGTTAGCATTTTGGAGCATTTTGCAACAACTTTTCATATTAACGTTTTGAAAAAAGAATTTTTTTTCTTTCTCCAAAATGCCTCTCCATTAATTAAAAAAATTTTTTAAAAAAATTGTTTTAATATTAAAAGCCTTAGGCTCCTTTGAGCCCAAGGCTCCACTTTCAATTTGTTGCCCATTAGACATGGGAACTTCAGACAATGGCGCGCGGGCAACTTCCAAAAAGTAGGAGGGCGCTGAAGTCCCGTAGTAATCTAACAACACGTTTGGTTCACGGAATGAATTTTGAGGTAATAGGAATGCTATTCCATAAGGAATGGAATAGGCAATGAATAGAATAGAAATTGTATTCTATTGTTTGGTTCGCGGAAGGAATAAACTTTAGGAATTATATTACAGTGTTTGGTTGATTTATGGAATAGAAATGAAATATGTTTTAAAAGACATAAATACGCTTATAAAAATATGTAATGGTGGCGATGGTGGTGGTGGTGGTGGTGGTGGTGGCGGCGGCGGTGGTGGTGGTGGCGATGGTGGTGCATGGAAGTGGTGGTGATGGTGGTGGTGACGGTGGTGGTGGTGGTGCAGGGGTGGTAGTGGTGGTGGTGGCGGTGGCAGTGGTGGTGACGGTGACAGTTGTGGCAGTGGTGGTGGGGGCGGTGACGGTTGTGGCGGCGGTGGTGGTGGTGGCGGTGATGCTGCTGGGTGGTGGTTCTGGTGGCGGTGGTGGTGGTGGTGGTGGCGGCGGCGGTAGCGGTGATGGTGGTGGTGGCGGCGGCGATGGTGGTGGTAGTGGTGGCTGCGGCGGTGATGGTGGTGGTGGCGATGACGGTGGTGAAATAGGATAAATTTATATATAGGATAAAAAAATTAGGTTAAAGAAATGGGTAAAAAAGAAAATAGATTCTAAAAATCTATTCCTGAGCGTTCAGTAATATGCTAATACCAGGGGGGCCTATTAATAGCTATTACCTTATTTGAGGTAATATGCTATTACCAGGAATATTATTCCTGGTAATAGAAATGGTTACCAAACAAAGGAATATGCTTATTACTGGGAATGCTATGCCATTTCCAGCTTATTCCGTGAACCAAACGGGCCATAATAGTGTCTAATCTAAGGGTCCGTTTGGAAAGCAGGAAAATGATTTCTGGAAAATGACTTCTGGAAAATGAGTCATTTTCCAGAAGTCATTTTCCTTTTCTGTGTTTGGTTACACAATGAAAAACTGTCTTTTGGTGTTTGGTTCATTTTCCAGAAAATGAATAGAATGGTATACTTAAACATTTTAATTATTATATACCGAAAAATATATTTTTATTGTTGTTTGTAGAATATAACGATTTTTATTACAAATTCTATGCAACATAAATTTTGATTGTATTTAATTTTTTTTTTGAATGTATTTAATTTTAGTTATTCCCATTCACATTTAGCACTAAAAAGTTGTTCTTTATTGGCCTTAATTTTAATAAGTGTAACAATCTATATAAAGTAATTAATTAATTTGATTACAAATCAATAAAAAGATAATATATAAAATTTCAATGCGTGTAACATAATCCAATGTTCTGTAGCGAAACTCCATTTTGACTCTCAACCGAAACCGCTCCAAATCCCTCTATCTTCCGTCGTCCAGACTGCCGCAGAGCACTGAAAGCTCTTCCCGGTGAATCAAATCGTCCATTCACTGTTTCCGATGTGGAAACCAGAGCCACTGGTTTCCCCAGCCGGAAATCAGTTTGGTTTCCGGCTGGGAAAACCACTGAAGAATAACATTTTCCAACTGTGGGTTTTCCCCCCACAGCCGGAAAATAACTTTGGAGAAAAAAGCTGAATGTTGAAGGAGGAGGTGAAGTTGGGAGAAGAAGCTGTGAAGGCTTTGCAGCGTGTACGTTTAGATTGGAAGACGGAAAATGACTTCCCCTCAAAAAAAGGGGAAGTCATTATTGGTTTCCGATTTGGAAACCAGAGTCACTGGTTTCCCCAGCCATAAATCAGTTTGGTTTCCGGCTGGGGAAACCACTGAAGAAGAACATTTTCCGGCTGTGGGTTTTCCCCCAAAATCCACAGCTGGAAAATAACTTTGGAGAAAAAAGCTTAATGTTGAAGGAGGAGGTGAAGTTGGGAGAATGAAGAAGCCGTGAAGGCTTTGCTACGTGTATGTTTAGATTGGAAAATGGAAAATGACTTCCCCTCAAAAAAAAGGGGAAGTCATTTTCCTGAAAAAGGGGCTCATTTTCCATTGACCAAGAGAACATTTTCCATTGACTTTTAGTTTTCCTTCTTTCCAAACACTAGAAACCCGGAAAATGATTTCATTTTCCAGAAATCATTTTCCGGGTTTCCAAACACACCCTAAATCTAATATAATATAATAAGTTTCAATCAAAGTTATATCATTAATTTATGTTCATGTTTTTAGTGCTATCGATTTTGTACATTGTGCTTTTAAAGTTATACTATACAATTTTTTTTGGATCAAAATACCATTATCGTTATAATTTCTGCTATCTTTTCCATTACTTTTATCATGCACATGCATCCATCATTTCTTTTCTTATATTCTTTAATGATAATAATATTTGTAGACATTATATATTGGATTAATATAATAAATAAAATTTATTTCATTTGAATTTTAATTAGTAAAAATTTGTTAGTTATTTTTAAAAATATAAATGTTGGGCATATGTTTTTGCGGATCAGGCATAGAAAAGACTAGTAGACCATTTTACATGTAAACAATTGAATGAATATTTATAGATTTTTCAACTTTTACGACCAATTTAATTACACAAGTAGTCAAAAAATAAACAATCCTGATATTAAAAATAAACAATCCTCATACCAATTAATCTGGACATAATTAATTGTAGAACAGTTTTGTGTAGAGTATCCATGGAGGGAAAAAAAAGAGAAGAAGACGAGAATGTATTGATGAATAAGTACATGTCGTAAGCGCTGAAATATAAGCCAAGGGAGCAGCCCCAGAACTAACCCTAACCACCTAAACCAAACAAACAACGACCACACAAACTAATTAACTGATCGAAGTGGCTTTGAATTGGGGCTGCCGCCGTCGCATTGTTTCTTGGTCGATAACACATTACTCTCTCTCTCTCTCTCTCTCTCTCTATATATATATATATATATATATATATATATATATATATATATATATATATATATATATATATATATAAATAATGTATTGATCATCGTAAAGTATATATGCTAGGCTTGAGTTCGCAGGTTGTTTTCTTTTAATTTAACCTTGATCTGAATTTGGTTGAATTGGCTTGAACAGCTTTGGTGATTGGGGGAAGCAACCACTTGGAAGCCTCTATGAAAGCCAGGGTGATGAATGGCTTCGCTTCTGCATCTGTCAGCTTCTTAACGAACTTGGGACGTTTAGCCATGTCAGATCCTGCCCCTGTATTCTTATACTCTCCAAAGTATGTCGACCTGCAGACGGGCAAGGTTATACTATAAGTTTGACTTTTAATGAGAGTGGTATATTAGCTTCATTGGTTTAAGTCAACCAGAATAACTTAAGTTGGTTTATAATCTTGTACTTTTTTGCGAACTAAAGTCATAAGGTCTAGTTTATCCACTATATATACTGCACACTTTAGATTATTAGGTTTAGTGTCTGGGATTTCACTCGTCACCAAAAAAAAAAAAAAACAATAATACAATTATAAAATTAAGAGTTAATTCTCAAAATGGTTATCTGACTATGGTCTTTTATCAAATTGATCCCTTGACTTTTTGATGGGGATATATGAGATTCGGGAGTCCATTTTATTGGCATAGTATTGACCCAAGTGGGGGTGGAGCGCAAATTATGCTGTGCAACCGAATGCTTAGTGCATACGGTTGCAAAACGGCGCCGTTTTGGTTAAAAAAACGCGGGTCCCACTTAAAGAAGAAATCAGGTCCGATTCCCGGCAATAGCATTTTTATATATCCAGAAATTTATAACTATATATCCAGAAATTTATAACTATATATCCACAAATTCATAACTATATATCCACAGTGAATGAATGAAGTAAAAATCCACAATGAATGAATGAATGAAGTAAAAATCCACAATGAATGAATGAATGAATGAAGTAAATCCACAATGAATGAACTAAATATCCACAATGAATGAACTAAATATCCACAATGATTGAACTAAATATCCACAATGAATGAACTAAATATCCATAAATTCATAACTATATATCCAGAAATTCATAACTATATATCCATAAATTCATAACTATATATCCACAGTGAATGAATGAAGTAAATATCTACAATGAATGAACTAAATATCCACAATGAATGAACTAAATATCCATAAATTCATAACTATATATCCACAAATTTATAACTATATATCCAGAAATTCATAACTATATATCCACAATAATGTTATTGCCGAGAATCGAACCTGAATTTTTTTTAAAAGTGGGACGCTCGTTTTTAGTCAAAACGACGTCGTTTTGCATCGTATGCACCATGCGCATGGTACATTCGGTTGCACAGCATAACTATTGGTGGTGGAGATAGGAGATTGGCCCAAGTCCTATTGGGCTAAGAAGACAAGGGGGCATGGTGGCCCAAAAAGGAGGAGAGAGAAAGACTTCCGGAGCACAACCGGCGACCGACCCGCCGGACTCCCGACGGCGAGGCGTGGCCAGCGGGGGTGGTGCCCCACCGTTGTGCCAGCGGCGCCCCACCAGCGCGACTGTGGAAGATAGCAACTGGGAGGAGACCATGCAAAAGGGAGGGTAAGGGTCGAACACGGGACCTCCCATATAACAAGCACGCATCTAACAACCAACCCACGATAACTATTGTTTCCCAAGGCGCAGCAAATATATATGGCCTATATTTGCGGCTGGCAATCTCCATGACCGGCCGTTGGCCGGCGCCGGGTCCCGCCGGCCATCTCAGGCCGAGGCGCGGCCAGCGGGGGCGGTGCGACCCCGAGCTTGTCAACGGCACCCCCCCCCCTTCCCGAGGGGGTACTAGGTCGTGAGGATCGCGGGGATCGCGTGGTGCGGACGGTAGGGTGTGGCGCTATGGCGAACGTGCCCGCGTGCGTAGCGACAAATGGGGGAGTGGCAAGGAATTACGTGGGGCACGTGGACGACAAGGGAGGAGAGGGGTATGCTATAAATAGGGGTCCTGGATCCTTAGCAAAGGGAAACTCAGACACGACAAGCACTACGGTCTAGTGGTTTTGATCTCATACTCTTAATGCAGTTACCTGGGTTCGACTCCTATCAGTAGCATAGTCAGCTATAGCCCATCCTGTAGGCCTTATTCTTTGTATTAGGGCCGCTGTTTTGGGCCTAGCGCCCCGGGTAATAAAGTCATTACTTTTCTACCCCGTCTTGTGTTCCTATACCCGGTTTATGGTGGACCCGGTCCCAATAAAACCATCACTTTTAATTTCCCCAAGGTGGTCCTCTGACTTTTGAATTTTAAGCCAAAATGGTTATCTATTAGCTTTGGCGTTAAGTTGGGTGTTAAAATGAAGGGCAAAATTGGAAATTTAGATTTTGCACTCTAATTTAAAGCAATTTGTGATTCGTTTTAGCAATCTGAGCACATATTTCTTCAAATTTGGTTTTTGCTCTCCTAAATCTGCAATCAAAATGTGGGATAATTAACTAGAAGGCGCGAAATCTTTGCCTTGGGAAGTTTGCGGATGTAGTTGAAGATGAACTTTTTTGGCATTCTAGTTGATTATCCCACATTTTGATTGCAGATTTAGGAGAGCAAAAACATAAATTAAAGAAATATGTGCGTAGACTACTTAAAGAAATCACAAATTGCTTTAAATTGAAATGCAAAACCTAAATTTCTAATTTTACCCTTCATTTTAACCCCAACTTAACACCAAAGCTAAGAAATGACCATTCTGACTCAAAATTCAAAAGTCGGAATACCACTTTGAGAAAATTAAAAGTCAAGGGACCAATTTAGAAAAATACCATCGGATGATGCTTTTAGAAATTAAGTCTAAAATTAATTAGGAAAACGTTGACGTAGATGATGAGATGACTTACTCTCCATCGGTAAGACTGTTGTGCACCCCAAACCATCCCTCCGGTTTAATGGCACCACAAATATCAGAATAGATAAATACGACCTTAGCAAAAGGATACCATGCTCTTCCTAGTACTGCAATCCTAGATTTGGCATCCCCGGTAACTCGGCATTGTACGAAAGAGTATCCTGAGTCTTCTTTTGCACTTTTCCGACCGTGTGCCGTAACATACGCCATCGTCCCGCCTGGGATAACATGCAGTTCTGTGTTCTGCGCCCATGCAACAAATCCAAAAAACAATTAATCCATGCATTTTAATATAGCTTCAACCCTAAACCTGATGATCCTTCTCTCCTGCCCTAGAAATTATGAGATAGGGTAAATCACAGGATGTGCTTCCATAGGACAGGATCTGAGTGTTTAATTTGGCTATTGCTTCAAGGCTAAGATCATCACTCATTGAGGTTCGAGCTTAGATATTTGTTGGGTCGCTACACTCACGCTCAACCTTTCGATTACTGCGTTATACCTAAGGCTGCATGCAGTTCTATATGTATACTGAATGAATGATAAATTTAGATTAAAGATTTTACCAAAATGATACTCTTGGCACTGCCAAAGAAGAAATCTACCGTGCCTTCAATGTAACAATCCTTATAGAAATGTTTGTTCCTATTATCACAAAGGGTGTCTTGGAATCCATAAAATTTACAGTTGTAGAACGCAGCCTTGTCACCGGCTATGGTCAGAGCCACAGCTTGCTCAAGCAGTTTACCACTAGGCCTGGGAGCTGAGTTCTGTATGCACAACACCAAACAACAAATTAAAAATTGATTTTTGAGTAACCGGTCAAGCCAAGTTGATTGGACGATTGACTTGATAATAGTTTGATTCCTAATCGTAGCAGGCCATTATTGGCTTTCTTAATAGGGATGAAAATAGGTCATGTCTCTTCATGAAGACATATGACCCGGCTTGACCCATTAAGTAAAAAGGCCCCTATATGTACAAACTCTAGTCTTCAAGACTACATGTCTCACTTGTTTTTAATATATATATATATATATATATATATATATATATATATATATATATATATTTGTAAATCTCTGATCTTGCTTCACCCTTGCGACTACGATTCTTGATTGTTATCAAGGTAAATTCGTAAATCTCTTTTCTCGATCACTATTGTCATTAATTTTTTATTTTTTTTTTAGGCACAACGAGTATACAAGCCCAGACTCAGACTCAAACCATAGATTTCTAGAGCAAGTGCATGCCTAATTTTCTAAAGTTCGGTTCGATCATCCTGCATATTTTCATCCCTACATCTTATAAGTTTAGATCATCAATTATAGGTAATCTAACTTGTTTATTACTGGAGTTATAAGGTGAAGTTTACTTAGGACAATGTGAGTATTTGTTTTTCTCATTACGTGAGCACAACTAATCAACTAACGTAGTGTAGGTAGTGCCTGTTTGTTTATGTACTTACCTTAACGTTAATATTAACGGCCATAAAGTAATCCGACAAAACATGCAAAGTGGCACTGTTTACGGTACCAACTTGAGCAGCCGTAGCAGCAGCATCTATAGTTGGCCTATCCTTAGGATCACCATATAAGGTGATGAAATGGTTACCGTAGTCGATCTTCACTCTCTCCTTATAAATCCCACCTGCTATGTTAATGATATAACGCTTTGTGTTTTTAGCAGGAATGGAGTTGACGGCTTCTTGAATGGTTTTGAATTTGCCTCCTTTTCCGACCCCAATGTGCACTGGGGCGGCCTCCGCCGTTGTGAGGGCAGGGTCCAAACCCTTTCTGCCTGGAAGGGGTTGAACGTTGGCTTTGAACCAACCCTCTACCGCAGACTTTTGTTGAGGAATAGGAACCGTGTCGTCTGAGGTAACACTGCCCGGACAAAACACTACAACTACACAGACAATAACACTAACAACAACATTTATTACTACTGTGTTTCTCGCCATGCGAACGATGCAATATAATGTTCACAAGTACTGTTTTGAACATCTCTGCTCAGGGTTTTATAGTTGAGGCTAGTAAAGAACGAATTGAACATCAAACAGGAGTGGAAGATAAGACGGGTGTATAAACGTCTGTGGTTTGATATCTTTCGTACACGTACACTTCGAGGATTTCTGTTACAATTATAGCATGTACGTGTACGAAACTTTGTTTTAGTTTGCAGTTCTGCATGCATCATATTCATATACAACTAATTAAGAACTAGTAACCTATTCTCAACTTGTATTCATAATGCTTTATGTTAGACTAACTCCTCCAAGAATAATACTTTGCTGGTTTTTCGATTTTTGTGGCCCCGTTCTGGTAAATAGATGAGACCCTACCAAAATCATAATCTTTAAAACCAATATCTTAATTTTTTGCAAACTCGCATCAGCAAGTTTCAAACCTCTGTCCTCCGTGTTGAAACACAATAAACACACATTTCTAGCATTTTTTCAAGGAGCCTTTTAAGTTTAATTGAAAACTTTTAGTTTTTATTTCTAAACTAGCTAAGTAAAAATTAAACATTGTGCCTTGTGATGTAGCCCAACTTGCACAATCCAAAATCCGGCCCTGAAGGTAGTATCTGTAAGAATCTAAATCTCCACCACCCGAGTTCGAACCTATGACCATCCACTTAGAATGGTAACCAGGATGCTATCACACAACATATAGTTGGCACTTGATTATTAGATCTTATTGGACTAATATTATGGGGGGTATTTAGTAAACTAGTGATTTTCCTTAAAAAAGAAAAGTAAACTGTAGGACTGATCAATCATTTTTTATGTTTTGACCAAGTCAAAACATCAAAAAGGGTGTATGATAAGTTAGCATTTTGCAATTGTTACTTTGAGCAGCTTTTCGGCAGACGAAAAGAGAGACTATACAGTTAAGACCTGCTACAAAAGAAGTTAGTTGGAAACATGCATAATGCTCACTCTAATCTGTTTTGGACCAGAAGTTGGAAGTTGAGATTGCCCCCAAAAATTAAGTCCTTTTGGCTGGTATGTTCTGGCTCTCTTCCAACATATGATTTGTTAAGGATAAGAAATTAAGGTTCAAGTTCCAAGTGTTTGCCAATTGTGCTGTATGGAAGATGAATCTAGCTTTCATTTGTTTGTGAATTGCCCTCTGGCTAAGAGTTGCTGGGAGCTTTCTGATAACATTATCTATCAAAACTGTGTTTCAATTCCTTTTTGGATTGGCTTGAAAAAAATTTCAATTCCTTATCTGACAGTGAGCTGTGTTTGTTGATTTCTACTTGTTGGAAAGTTTGGTAAGCCAGAAATGATATTAAGGAGCTAGTTAGAGACTTTACTAATCTCATCTTTTTGTTTGTCAAACAGTCCGCGAATAAGGTTGCCCACGAGCTTGCTCGGGAAGCTTTGTCTATATCTAACTGTGTGAACTGTTTTTCGATCCCGTTTGTTTCCTTCTATTGTTCGTACTTTAGAGCTTGACTCTTATTAATATATATATTCTCTCATTTTTCTTTTCAAAAAAAAAAAAAAAAAAAAATATTAAGAGCCTTAGGCTACACTTTTAATTTGTTGCACATTCGATATGGGAACTTCAGACAATGGCGGGCAACTTTCAAAAAGAATATTTATAGACCATTTTACATGTAAAAAAATGAATGAATATTTATAGATTTTTCAACTTTTGTGCCCAATTTAGACAAGTGGTCAAAAAATAAAAAATCCTGATATCAATTAATCTGGACATAATTAATTGTAGAACAGTTTTGTGTAGAGTATTCATGGAGGCCGGGAAAAAAGAGAAGAAGACGAGAATGTATTGATGAATAAGTACATGTCGTAAGCGCTGAAATATAAGCCAAGGGAGCAGCCCCAGAACTAACCCTAACCACCTAAACCAAACAAACAACGACCACACAAACTAATTAACTGATCGAAGTGGCTTTGAATTGGGGCTGCCGCCGTCGCAGCATTGTTTCTTGGTCGATAACACATTATTCTCTCTCTCTCTCTCTATATATATATATATATATATATATGTATTGATCATCGTAAAGTATATATGCTAGGCTTGAGTTCGCTGGTTGTTTTCTTTTAATTTAACCTTGATCTGAATTTGGTTGAATTGGCTTGAACAGCTTTGGTGATTGGGGGAAGCAACCACTTGGAAGCCTCTATGAAAGCCAGGGTGATGAATGGATGCGCTTCTGCATCTGTCAGCTTCTTAACAAACTTGGGACGTTTAGCCATGCCAGATCCTGGCCCTGTATTCTTATACTCTCCAAAGTATGTCGACCTGCAAGCGGGCGAGATTATATTATAAGTTTGACTCTCAGTAGGAGTGGTATATTAGCTTTATTAGTTTAAGTCGACCAGAACAACTAAGTTAGTTTACAATCTTGTATTTCTTTGCGAACTAAAGTCACAAGATCTAATTTATCCATTATATATACTGCACACTCTGGATTATTACGTTTAGTGTCTAGGGTTTCCTTCGACACAAGAAAAACAAACAATAATATAATGGTAAAATTAATTAGGAAAACGTAGACGTAGATGATGAGATGAGATGACTTACGCTCCATCGGTAAGACTGTTGTTCATCCCAAACCATCCCTCCGGTCTTATGGCACCGCAAATATCAGAATAGATAAATACGACCTTAGCAAAAGGAAACCATGCTCTTCCTAGTACTGCAACCTTAGCTTTTGGATCCGCGGACCCGGTAATTCGGCATTGTACGAAAGATAATCCTGTGTCTTCTATTGCACTTTTCCTACCGTGTGCCGTAACCATCGCCATAGTGTCGCCAGGGAAAACATGCAGTTCTGTGTTCTGCATGCGCCCATGTAACAAATCCAAAAACAATTAATCCATGCATTTTAATATAGCTTCAAATAACCCTAATTCAGTATAGGGTAAATTACGGGATGTGCTTTAATGGGACATGGTCTGAGTGTTTAATTTGGTTATTGCTCCAAGGTAAGATCATCCTTCATTGAGGATTTGAACTCAAATATTTGTTGGGTCATTACACTCACGCTTAACCTTTCGCGTTATGCCTAGAGGCTGCTTGTAGTTCTATATGTATACTGAATGAATGATATGTTTGGATTAAAAATTTTACCAAAATGATACTCTTGGCATCGCCAAAGAAGAAATCTACAGTGCCTTCAATGTAACAATCCTTATAGAAATGTTTTTTAATATTATCACAAACGGTGTCTTGGAATCCATAAAATTTACAGTTGTAGAACGCAGCCTTGTTACCGGATATGGTCAGAGCCACAGCTTGCTGATCCGGTTTACCAGAAGGCCTGGGAGCTGAATTCTGTATACACAACACCAAATAATAAATTAAAAATTGATTTTTAAGTAACCTGTTGGCTTGATAATTACATAATTATTGGCCTTCTTGGTAATAATGAAAATAGGTCATGTTCATTTATAGGGGCCTATGGTCCGACTTGACCTATTTAGTACTAAAAAGACTAGACTTAAGACCTATTTTAAAGCCAATTTAGTTAAATAGGCATAGGCTTATATATATAAAGCCCCGTCTTCAAGACTACAAATATCACTTGTTTATATATATATATATATATATATATATATATATATATATATATATGTTTTTAATTATATTTACAATATAACCCAAGTATATATATCAATTATCAAATCCCCACCCCAAAATCTCCAATTTTAACTACTAATTTGTAAATATGGCTCTCTCATCTCACTTTCACTCTAGCTTGCCACTATGATTCTTGAATGTTGTTAAGGTAAATTTGTAAATTTTATTTTTGGGTCATTGTTGTTACTATTTTTATTTCCTGAAGCACAACTAGTATATAGGCTTAGGCCTAGACTCGGACCTTAGATTTCTATATATACGCCTAATTTTTTAAAGTTTGGTTCGGTCCATCCTGTTTTCTTCCTTACTTAGCTTTTTGATTTATGTTGTTCAGGTTTAAATAATCTAACTAGTTTACCTCCTTATTATTTTCGGTTGACTAAGGCCATAAAGTGAAGTTTATTTAGTACACTCCTGTGATAGTGACTATTTGTTTTCCTCGCACAACTCATCAACGTAGTGTACTGTTTGTTTATGTACTTACCTTAACGTTAATATTAACGGCCATAAAGTAATCCGACAAAACATACAAAGTGGCACTGTATATGGTACCAACTTGAGCAGCCGTAGCAGCAGCATCTATAGTGGGCCTATCCTTAGGATCACCATAGAAGGTGACGAAATGTTTATCGGGCTCAATCTTCACTCTCTCCTTATAAATCCCACCTGCTATGTTAATGATATGACGCTTTGTGTTCTTATGAGGAATGGAGTTGACGGCTTCTTGAATGGTTTTGAATTTGCCTCCTTTTCCGACCGCAATGTGCACCGGGGCGGCCTCCGCCGCTGTGAGGGCAGGGTCCAATCCCTTTCTGCCTGGAAGGGGTTGAACGTTGGCTTTGAACCAACCCTCTACCTCAGACTTTTGTTGAGGAATAGGAACCATGTCGTCTGAGGTAACACTGCCTGGACAAAACACTACAACTACACAAACAATAACAATAACAACAACATTTATTACTACTGTGTTTGTCGCCATGCAATATAATGTTCACAAGTATTGTTTTTTTTTTTTTTTTTTTTTTTTTTTTTTTTTTATTGGATCTGAAGATGTTTTTGCAAATGAATTGCAGGCGTTATATGCTTGCATTGTGAACATTTATCTCTGCTCAGGGTTTTATAGTTGAGGCTAGTAAAGAACGAACATCAAAGCATCAAACAGGGGTGCACATAAACATCTATGGTTTGATGTCTTTCGTACACGTACACTTCGAGGATTTCTGTTACAATTATAGCATGTTCGTGTACGGATCTTTGTTTAGTTTGCAATTCTGCATGCATCATATATTCATATACCATATAACTAATTAAAGATCAGAACTAATAACCTATTCTCAACTTTTATGTATTGATAATGCTTTATGCATGTTA